ATGTGAGTATTATGACCAGTACTTACTTTGATCCTGCTGGATCCTGTTCCGGAAAATGTCAGATTTTTAATTTGTGCGTTCAGGTAGGCCTATTTGTTTTTAACAATCCGGCATTTACAGTGCATTAGATCGTGACAGTGCATGCGTGCGTGTATGTATTTGGAGCTTATTACTCACGTCTCATTCGGCACAAATCCAAATGTTTCCATATTCGCAATGTATTTGAATGTTAAACTATTATTTATAATGTAAACTAGGCTTGTACTTTACACGCATTCGCATATAGATGGAAAAGATCATCCTCACATGAGCAAAAAAGTCCTTGGTATTACAGCAGAGTGGACCGGTATACTAGGGTCTATTTAAACTGACCAGTGTAACCTTTTATATGTTTGGTTGACTGTATTTTATTTTGACAATGAACAGACTGCGATGTAAGTTTGAATTGCTAGAATATGTGGGGTGTGTGCGTGTTAGGCGCCGGTGAGTTCGAACAGCTGAAACATAAAAAAAACTCCATTTTTGGAGTAGGCCTAAGAAATAATCCGCAAAAGTGTTTACTTTTATTTTTGCACACTCACAATAAAAACAAGATTTGTGCGTTGTAAAATAAAGCAAACAAACAGAACTGAGTTACAGTAACTTCTTGTTTCACTGCATTAATAGCATGCTTTAGGTTGACATCCCTAGTTGCTAGCATGTTTTAGTATGTTTCTAGCATGTTGCCAGCCTATTTAACACTTGTTGATGCTTTTTAATATGTTCCTAGGAGTCCATAACAGTGTTAACTATAACACTTCCTGTTGCCAGGAGGTGGCGCTATGACTATAACTGAACTTGGGCATGGGTATTTGTTTAGGACAGGACTCTGATCAAACGTGTGAAGTTTGGGGCAGATCGGACATTGCTTGATTGGGTTACAACAACTTCCTGTTTCATAGCGAAACATCAAACTTTGTCAGGCCGCCAGGGACAATGCAATTTAACGTCACAAAGGCCTTATGATAGCCCTAACCAAATTTGAAGATGATCCGATTAAAACTGTAGAAGGAGTTCGTCAAAGTACGAGGCCTGGAAATGGCAAAAACTGCACAAAAATGGTACAGGAAATTGAAAATAACATACTCCCTGTTGGGTTTTGGATTTTGTACCAGGAGACTTTTTTGTAGGTAGTGGTGTGTTACACGTGTGTACTGGTTTTCATACATGTACGTAAAACGTAGCACAAGGCACACTCCGTTAAAATTTTACAGGTGGCGCTATCAAGCCACTTTGCCACACCCACTTCTGAAACCCATATCAGATGTAAATTTTCGCCAGTTCTGACGTGCAAAGTTTCATGAGTTTTGGAGAATGTTTAGGCCCTCAAAAATGCAATTCACTTTGGAGAAAAGAAGAAACGGAGCAATTCCAAGAGGGTCCTCGCACCACCGGTGCTCAGGCCCTAATTTTCCTTTATACAATGGCTCGAGATTAATTTGCCATGCAGGGTCCATTGTCCTTAGGGACAATTGCAAGTGCTCCAAAATAATTGTATCTACATAGTGCAGCAGATTAATAATACTTAAGTTTAGATCAATATAATACTCAAGTTTAAAGCTATTTCCATATTAGATCATTTTCATATGCACATAGATAATAGATTAACTAATCTTTGCTTTATCTTACAAGTGAGAGACTGTCCATATCAGATGCATGTTGATATGCACATTTTGCAGTGGTGTTGACATGTCATTTCCGTGGCTAATCAAGACCTATTAGAGTGTCTGGTTGCCATAACTACCATTCTCCCAGCAATCATCATTACATACTCTCACTGTAAAATGTATGTCTTCTTTCAGTGCTTCCAGCATTATGCAACTTCACATTTTCCACACCTGTACATAGATCTGTAAAGAACCAGATATTTTCTTTCGCAAGCTTGATGCAACGGGTTTTAACTTGGACAACTGCCTCTTCAAATCAAACCCATCCACCCACTCTCTCACACATGCACGCAAGCAGTCTCACAGCCCTGTCAGAGCCAATCCATCTAGCCGTCGTTATGTGGCAGGCTCTCACCTTGAAGAGAGCTGGAGCATGGTGATTGACGGCCTGCAGCTCTGCAGGTTTTTTGACCTCTTAAGTGGTGATACCACAGACACTCCATCTTCTAGCATGGGATTAAGTGTTGTAGGGTAATGCACAAAGCTGAAGATCCTGAATATACTGAGATGGGGGCGAAGATGGGCCTTTGTCGCCATGGGCTGTTTGGTTTTGTGATGACACCCTTTAACCTTCCTTCAGCCTCTTGGCTAAAACAAAGGGCATATTCAGGAGGGATTGATACCCCCTCCCAAGTGACCTACCTGACACCCACATATGTGTATAACTGACAAGGTTATTCTTCCCCAGGAGAAAGAGATGAAGCAGAAGCTACTGAATCCGCCCAAGGAACACAACGGCCATCGCCACACTGAACAAAATGGCAGCAAAGAGAATGGGGTTGGCTTTTTTTAAAACATGTGTCAGCACTTTCTTGTTTATCTATGTGATGTAAGCTATGGTTTAATTTATGAATTTGTGTGAAGCAGACACGAGCCACAAATGAGGTGGACAAGCAGAAGGAGGAGGACCTGGAAAGGCAAGTCCTGCTCACCGAACAACGGAAAGAAGAAGAGAGATTGCTTCAGGAAGAACGGGAGAGAGAGGAACAGGAGAGAGTCAAAGCTGTCGAGGGTGAGTCACACTCAAGGTAACCAGCGACCAAAGTTTCCCCAGAAGCGTGATCAAACACTCACTGACGCTAAAGCACATTCTGTGGTCTCGTCTCGACATGGCGGTTTTGAAGTCAGCATGCTTTTAACCCAAGGCTGCTTTAATCATATGATGAGCTGAGCTAGGGGAAACGATCAACCTCACTCCTCGTGAGAATCATCCAGCTCTGATATCCCCTGTCAGCGGGTTAATTAACTCTTGATTGTGCTGCTGCTAATGGGCCTATCCACATTAATGTATTATGGATGAAGATCGGGCTTGCAGTTCTCTCCAGTGGTTTCTTCCTGTAGCTCTTTTAATCCTCCCAGCAGGGTGTGTCAGGCAGGGCCTTTAATGTCAGCATATAAAGCACTTCTCTCCTTTATCTTGCCTGTGCCCTTTGATCAAATGTGCCTTCTAAAGCTGCCTGATGAATTGCTCGTATTACTACTTGATTTTGTTTGCAAACTTTTCCTCACCTTGGCCCAGGCAGAAGTGGGCAGGTAACAAGTGCACTAATAATGGTAATAAAAAGTGTGAAGTGCTTTATTATTCTGTCATTCACTGATGTGTTTTTCAATGTTGTTCAGAGCGTGCACGTAGAAGGAAGCAGCGAGAAGAGAAGGCCTGGTTGCTCTCTCAAGGAAAAGAACTTCCCCCTGAGCTGCTGAATCTGGAGACTCACTCACCTAGTCGCCGAACACGTCGCACCAAAGAGTTGTAAGGACTTTGTTTTAGCTTTCAAACTCAGTATTAGCTTTGAATTTTGGCCTCCTAACATGCATTTAATGTTAATTTTACTTGTAAATATGTGTAAGCTTTTATGTGTAATTCAGTGTGGTTGTTGCTATTCGGTACTCATTTCTTTTTCTATATTGCAGTTATGACATAGATGATGATTACACTGCTCTGTACAAAGGTACATTTGGACAATGGTTTTTGTGTTGTGGTCAAACCACAGTGTTTGTTTCCTCATTCACTACTTACAGTAAAGTAGAAGTTCCACTGAAATAATGTAAAATTATTTTCTTGTCAGTGTTGGAGGCCCTCAAAGCACACAAAGATGCCTGGCCTTTCATGGAGCCTGTTGATGAGTCTTATGCCCCCAACTATCATGAAATCATACAGGTGGGCATACTACAAGATGTTATAAAGAAATTTGTTTTACCTTGTTAAGAATAATTCAAAAAGTTATTTAAAATGTTTTGTCAGACTCCAATGGACCTGTCCACCATTGAGAGAAAGCTGAATGATGGGGAGTACGTCGCTAAGGATGAGTTTGTGGCTGATGTAAAGCTTATGTTTGAGAACTGTCTGGAATACAATGGAGAAGAGAGTGGTAAATATGATTTAACGCTGTTTTGTTGCCAAGTTAAGCAGAAGAGCTAAGCTGAAGTTAAACATTTTTAAAAATCTGCTCAACAAAATGTAGGAATGTGTAGCAGTGTTTAAAAATTGATGAGCAAAGCAAGTCATACAACTAGTGGAAGTATGTGGAGAGGCTCTGACATTGATTAATAGAGAGTGATTGAGCTGTCCTCTAGTGCACCAGATCCTGCAGTGCCACAGAGACATTTCAGCCCCGCAGCTCCCCTCCCTGGAGCCATTCATCCATCAGAATGCACTCCCCTGGGGGTGGCGGGGTCAGAGGTCAACTGTGGTTCTGTGACCTGGTTGGTGTGCTTGCTGTTCATGGGGAGATGAGATTGTGTGTGTGTGTGTGTGCACGCACTTGTGTTTACCTGCCTGTATATCCTCAGAATACACAATAATGGCTGAGTCCTTAGAACGCTGCTTTAGCCGAGCCCTACTGAAGCATTTCCCCACTGAGGATGGCGACACGGACGAAGAGTTTCATGTGAGCAGTGAGGACCGTGACCGCAAGGATAAGAAGAAGAGCAAAAGTCACAAACAGTCAGGTCCTGAGAGCTTGATCAGAGCCACTGAGCAAGTTCAAAAACGCAAAACATCCAATAGTGGAAAAGGAAACAATCAGCAACAAGACAAACCCAAATCTGCTTTACAATACCCTCCTCCACACTACACCAATGGTCCCCCACATCCTCATAACATCCACCCAGGACAGCAACAGGCTGGCATGCTACATCCTGCTCAACAGGTTAGACTACACTCTCTACACAAAAAATGTGTTTATTGTTGACAGCTGAAACAACAGTTTTGACTTATCATAAAAGTTCTTCTGGAGCACTTCTTATTGTCGGTACTTCATAAGAGATGTGCTCTTTTTGCCTATAGTTTCAACAACCTGCAGGTCCTTTGGGACCAGGAATGTATGCTCAACGAATGATGATTGACCCTCAGTATCCATATCCTGGACAGAGACCCCTCATGTCCAGGCCACCGGTGGACCATGGAAGTCAGCATATACCTCAGTACAACATGCAGGTATGTAGTGATCTTCATCCAGTAGTATTAGTTTCAATCATTTACAATTTGTTAACTCACGTCTTGAAGGTTGTTTATAATGGTTTTCTTTCTTTTATTTTTAATCAGGGTTCCCACATAAATGGTCCACATCTTGGTCCTAGATACCCAATTGGACCTGATGGCCAACCACTTCAACCTTCACATCAGCAACATTCTTATCCTGGTCCTACTCATGGTCCTTCTCTTGGCCCAAGGCCAGTGACGTCTCAGCCTGGAGGTTTCTGTGCCCCTCCACCTGAAGGCAACATGCACCCTTCACAGCAACATCCAGAAGGGCAGTCCATGCAGCCTATGGGTAACCGGTACCCCAGGCCAGGTGTCCCAATGCATAGTTCCTACTCTCCTTATGGCCCCCATTGTATGAACGTGCCCAGGCTGTGGCCTCCCATGAACCATCATGGGCAGCCGACACCTGGTGGACCTATGATGCAAGAGCAGAGTGCAACAAGCCAGCATCCATACAATAACATCATGATCCATCCTCCACACAGTACTGGTTATGCAATGACAAATGGTCAATATAGAATGCCCTCTGTCAGCTCCCAAAGTCCCATTGGCCAAAGACCACCAGGGGCCCCTCAGGTCTCAAGGCCACATTTGGCTTCCATGCTTGATAGCCCAGAGATGATTGCCCTCCAGCAGCTCTCGGCCTCATTGTTTCATCGTGTTGAGAACTTTCAGCCCATCCCACAAAGTGGTGGTAATGCTTTAGCTTCTGCTGCATTGTCTTCTCCGGAAAACCAGCTCATCAGGCCTGTTAGAGATGGCGCTGCAGACATCCAGCACACTCCTGTATCCCCCAAAGGTAAGAGTTGGTATTCCTTGCCATATTTTGGCATTACACTATTGCTTTCAATGAAAATGGGATGTGCACCTGCAATGATTTAAGCGCATATTAACATTATTGTATATCCCGACAGGTTCAAGTTCAAAATCTGGTGATAAACCGTCAACTGGAGAAAATGCTCTGACTGAAGCTGACAGCCATTCTCATCACAATCCAACAGAAAAATCTGAGCAACCTTCTCTAGGAACAGCTCTGGCATCTGTCCACAATCCAAGCACGGAAGGCCCCAGTCAGAATGAAGAGAAACATAGACTGTCAAATCTAGAGAAAATCCACAATGATAACCACCCAAATTCTCAATCCCAACCAGGTACCCCACAGCAAAACTCTGTGGATGACTCTTCATTACCCCTAAATGGTCCTCAGCCAATGTCCCATAAAACCCCAGATGAAATTCCCCAGTATCACTCTCAACAAATCCATAAACATGTTCCACCACAATTTATTCAGAATGGTTCTCAACGGCAGTCTCAGAATGTTCCTTCACATGTTCTGCAGAATCTTCCTCAACAGATGGCACAAAATGCATCTCATCAGTATGCTCAGAACAGCTCACCGCAAGTACCAAACAATGGATCAGTCAGAGGGCCACAGGCAGGACCTCTTCATGGAATGCCACAGATTCCACCTCAGGGGGGTCAGCCTGGTGTTCATCAGCCTGCAACCCTCAGCTCTCTACCTCCTAGCCACCCTGTATCGCATCCACTTGTTCAACCCTCTCCAGCTGATCAGGGAGACCAAAGGCCTTGTGAGCCTACCAGCAGGAAAGTGTCAGGTGGGAGTACAGCTTCCCAAGATAACAGTAACGCTAACATGATAATTGATTGTGCCAGCGGGCTTTACAAACCACAGCCCTTCAGTCCAGAGTCACAAACCCAACTAGGAAGGCAGGAGCTAGCACCCCTTCACAATCAGGCTCCTCCAATACACTCTCAGATTCCAGAGAGTAACACTGTGACCCAATATGGTACAACTGAGCCAGCACATCAACACTTTGGCCCACAGATGGGTCGAGGATTACACCCGCCAAATCACCAGCCTTACCCAAACCAGGGACCACCATCACAGGGAAATAACCTTCATCAAAATCCTGCACACTATCCTGCTTATCACCAACAAGGTGTTCCATACCAGTATCGCATGGCCACACAGCATCCTCAAGGCCAATCCAGTATGTTTCCTCAGTTCCAGCAGCAACGGCAGCAGTTCTATCAGCACCCCCGACATGGCAGACCTGGATTTCCATCTGAGGAGTGGCCTAGACCTCCATACCAGCCTCAGCACCCAATGATGCCCAATTCTTACCCATCACCATCCATTGGAAGTTTTAATGGTCGACACAAGGACAATAGCATGTCTCCACATGGCTCGGATGGATCTGTTGGGAGCTTAATGTCACCTAGTCCTTTACCCGATCGGTCCCATAGGAGTGCGTTGGAAAACAGAGAGGATGGCAGCCCTTCCAAGCAGGCAAGGACTGAAGAGCCTTCTGAACGGTCTGAGAGCCCAAAGGAGATCTTGGACCTGGACAGCCATAATGCAACAGCCCGACATTGTACTTTAGCTCAGCCACACCCCAGTTTCCCATATGGGCCTCGTGGCATGCATCCCAGCATGCAGCAGAGTGGTGCTCCTCCACCCCATATGGTGGCAAGTGGGCCGTATTCTGGCCAGCACTTTCCCAGTGGACATTTTGCACCACAGCATCCTCATCCACATTTGATGGAAGCTTTACAGAGGCCCCAGCACCTGTCTTTTTCTCCAGGCCAATCTCGCATGGCTATGTACAGGCATTCAAATGTTGCAGGACACTTCCAGGGAATGATGGTTCCTCAGAGAGCAGTGGTTGCAGAACACTTACTTCGCACAGGGTAAGAGATCTCATTTATCTCTCGGATCTTATGATATAATTGATTTGGATCCAGAAGAATAATGCACTTACACATTCATCTACATTTGTCTATATAATGCCTTCACATCAGTTTTCCTTACCTTTAGTAACCGTTTTTCTTGTCTGATAGGCACCAGATGTTGGGTACAGCATCTCCCAATGGTCCAGGTAATAAACAAGGAGTATGAAAAGTATGATTTCATTGGAAAATCAAGGAAAATTTATATCTTTTACAACACTGTTACATCCTGAAATATACAAGAAAATGGAGACGACAACAAAAATTAGGAAGATTGTTGATATGATCATTTGCTGAAAAAGGCATGTTATTTTATTATTTAAAGTCCTGATCCTCAGACATGCTCCACTACCCACCTAGAAGATGTTTTTGAGATAGTGAATAACCCATCCTCATCTGGATTAGGCACTCCTTTGCAGTGAGGAGGAAAAGGAACAACTCACAGTACCAAGAGGTGGGATCACTGACCAAGGAAGAGCTGTGAATCTTCAGTCCTGTTTATTGCTCAAATACTGTTTGAACACTATAATAGTGGTCTGCAGCTTCTCTTTTCAGCCTGGAATGTCTCTTTGGCCTCATTCCCTACAAAGGAACAACATCTTCAATTTCCTTTGGATGGGCTGTTACTTGGGAAGTAAATAAAAACATTTTTTCCCCAGTCCACGAGAAGAGCAAGATGTGAAATTACCAGTTCATGTTCTGGTTTAAAGTTAAACTCAGGTGTAGTAAATAAGGTACTGGGGCTACTGGAGCTTTTTCCAAGCTCTTTGGACAAACTAGACCCGGTTGCCTTCATGTACTTGTTGAATGTTCTGTGAAAGATTTTAGATATAGTAGTAATTCAACTTAAGGAATAAAAGATGGATCTTGTGCTTCACTGGGAAACACCTCATCTGGAGTGTTTTAATGAGGTGATGTTCATCTCAACTAAAACACCGTATCCACTTGATTTCTGGTGATGTGCATTCTTTTAATGCCACTTCAATTTGAAGATTGTCTTTTTTTTCTTAGACTGGCAGAGAACTTGGCTGCTCTATTTGTTATGCACTAGGAATAGTCTTTCATACTGGAATTAGTGGCCTTGGACATAAATTAGATGTGTGCTCCTTTGTATGGGACTAAATTCTAACTTTTCACTCAAGTTGTCTATCTCTGATGTGTTGTCTTGTTCCATATTGATGTGTCCTGCTAGTTTATGTGTGCACAGAATGAATCAGATTTCAGATACTGAGGTAGCCATCTTTCACCTCTAAATATCTACACAGTTTTCTAGTAATCTATGGCTTTTGGGATTCCTTGAAGGCTGGTTTATTGTTTTCACCTGATATCATTCATTATTGGTCATCAATCTTAATATGTTTTTTCACATATTGAAATGTAAATTGAATTTTTGTCACAATTGACAACCAGCTGGAGTCGCAATACTAAAAATGCATTAGATGAGAGAATATATATCAGCCTTAAAACTTGTAAAAGTACCACTGTAGCTCCTTTTATCAAATAGGAGAAATGTCGATGTGCTCATATTTTACATGAATGCTTCCTCTTTTAATTCAATGTACTGAATGTGTCCTCAGGGTGTAGTGGTTTTAATACGGGTATTGTCAATAGAATATTCATAGAAAAAAATTCCAATGAAATGTCACTGAAACTGTGATTAACTTCAATTCATCTGTGATCTTCAGTACAAACACAGGAACCAGGTGTGGTGTTCTTTGAATTAGTTTTAAATGTTTTTTTTTCTTTTTAATGGGGGGAGAAAGGTTGATCGGAAAATTAACTAGAATGGTTTTGTTCATTTTAATTGCTCCTACTATTGTTGTCCTGCACTAAATGAATTACTTTGAATATCTGCTTTTTTTATTGTTCTCTTGGTCTGTCTGAATTACTATTTTACTCGGCTCATGTTGACAAACCATTGAAAAGAAACCGCAATTTGTGAGAATATGGCAGCAAGAATATCTACCTCGTAATGCCAGAATGTGGCACATTCTCCATTCCCTTTATGACACGTGGAGATCACTTACATATCCTTTTTTTTATGATTTACAGCTTGATACGTACATCAACACTATATATAGTCTTAATATGTTCACTTGCAAAAAACGAACGGTAATTATTAATTTATCAGTGCCAAGTTTGAACATGATTAAAACATCTGCATTCCACTTTTTGAATGTTGGTGTTTACAACCATAAGTGAAATGAAGGCAGCATCCTAGAAAGTTTTGCCCTCATTTTGCGGAATCCATGCTGAAGTGGAAAAGAGGTTGTACACGTTTGTGCGAAGGATTTGACAGTGATTTTTATGGTACACTGAGAACATTTATCCCAGAAACCTGTGATGGTGCAAAATGTCGGACAGTAATATTTTAGTATTTTTGTGGACATGTGAACCGTTTATATGTATTTTATGAACTAGGGATATGGAAATATTAGCAGCTGTGAGATGACATAGACATTGTCCACCATTGTGTACCTATCTTAGCTCACAAGTGAAGATGTATCACTTTAGCAGTCTGAGGCAGAGGACTGTCCTTTCTCCACTGTTAATATGTAAAGGGATGATTTAGTTGTAATGGACTACAAGAATGTGTGGATATTGCTGTGTACAGTTGTTTTTATTTTATTTTCTTTCACCTTTTTGTGGGTATTGGGTTACGGATCTGTATCTCTTGAAATCCACCCTTCCACATCTCTGCTGTCATTTATTCTGTCTGTA